CTCACGAGCAGAAACAAAACCAGACAATCAAAAACATAAAACAAAAAAAGCAGAAACCAGCACAAAGTAATAAATTTCAACAAAAAGATTCAAATTTCACAAACCCATTTCTGTTTGGTTTGCTCTGATTCAAAAAAAAAAAAAAAAAAAAAAAAAAACTTGAAGAAGAAGAGGAACTTACGATGAACGGTGAGGAACGGCGAGTGTGAGCTGTGAGGAACGACAACGAACGGTGAGAGACTGAGAAGAAGAAGAGGAACGAAGAATGAGGAACGGAGAATGAGGATTGGAGGAGAATGCGAGTAATTTAGGGATGAGAGATTTATGGTGAAGGAGGAGGCGAGGCGAGTTGGCGAGGCGTGCGTGAGGCAAGAGGCGAGAGGCAAGAGACGAGAGGAGAGGAGGGAGGCGAGACTCGAGAGGCGAGGAGGTGAGGATTGAGAGGCGGAGGAGGAGTGAGGAGTGACCGAGTGAGGACGAGGGACGGCTAAGCTTCATTAGGGTAAGGCTAAGCTTCCAAACGGCCGGGTCGGGGCATTGTGGGTTCAAGCATGCCCAACCCGCACAGTGCGGGTTGGGACCATTTTAAACCCGAAAAAAAAAAACAAAAACAAAAAAACAAAACAAAACAAAACAAAACTATAAAGTCGGGTCGGCCGGATTTTGCGGGTTCGGACTGAAAACTTACACCCCTAATGATAAGGTGCAAAACTATCATTGGCTTTTCACCCATACCTATTGATATCAGGGATGAGTTCTTTTCACCAACTTTCTTATTCAATTCACCAACAAACAACAACAACAGCAAGCTTTAATCTTAACTTAATTAAAATCGGCTATATGAATTTTATTTTTTCACGTAGTTCTATTCAAAATTAAACTTTTTTAAAGGCTTAAATCTAGAATGTATTTCCTAATTATTTCAGTCTACGTAATTCTTGATCTACTCATCGTGCTTCAACTTTCTTATTAAATTCACCGGTCTATAAAAAAAGACCAATTAGAGACTAATTGGAAATGGATCATATAATCCAAAGGCTATATGCCAGAAATCAATGGATAATAGTAGTCTTGGATATACGCAAGAGTCTATTTGCCATCCATGCAGAGAGTAACTACTATTAATAGCTACCCGTGGTAGAGACATGATATTAAGAACGCCTATCCGTCTTTCATATTTACAACTCAGGGTTCGAATTTCCACGTCCACACAAAAAAAGTTTCAGCCTTAAAAATGGCAATACTAATATATGGTAGGACAAGGGTCAGGGTAGACTGATGAAACCTGAATTGTAAACGGGTGAAAAGTAGGTTTAGGCTATTGACCACAAGTAGGACTAATTGATTTCTTCTATAACTGCTTGGGGTAGACGTTTAGGCACTAATGATCTCTTTTTTTAACTAGCAAAAAAGAATATACTATTAATAGTTCTCATTTACCTTTTTGTTTTAAGAAAAATAACATTCTTCTATGGTATGACCTCTTAGTGTACATTTTTAACCGTTAAATATAATTAAAATTACGTTAAAATTAAAAATATGCATAATAGATAATATCTAATACAAATTTCATGGCTGAAACACTAACGCCTACCAATAGTTTATTTTTCTAAGAAACCCAAGTTCTACCATAGAAATCTCCAAAAGAATATGGAAACGAAAATTCTTTTGTTTCACCAAATAAAATAAAATTCTCTACGTCTATTATGTTCTTTCGCACTTATTTTTTGGTAAACAATAGAGGCGCATCTCTAACGCGTACGGCAATTATAAGGTTATATTAGACACTAATCTCTTTGTGCTGAAATAACATATTAAAACAAAATTCCAATAAGAATAAAATAAATTAAACATTTTTTTTTCCGATAACATATCTTATCAAACTCAAAGTCGTCTAAATATTAAGACTTATCCCTAGTATTGACTATCAAATGCCAAAATTCAGAAGTCAACTATAATGGCTTTTCCCTTTATCCAGTGATACGAAGGGTTAGTTAGTTCTTTTCACCAACTTTCTTGTTCTATTCACCAGTCTAGAGGTAAAGACACAAAGACTTCATGTGGTCCAAGGTATATCATATGTGCAAGAGATAAATAGATATGAACTAAAAGTCTTCACGCCATGCATTAAATTAATAACAAGACACCATCCATTGCAAGAGAATATATATTTTCCGTCTTCACAATTTAATGTTGACGTAAAAAAATATTTTTTTTTCTGAATTTGGGTTGGGGATTTAAACTTCACACTTTAAGGTTGAGTCAGATATAGATTTATCACCAAATTATATACGCAGTATTGATAAGAATTAAATCCTTCTAAAACTAAAAGTCATCCAAAAATTAAGCTATACTATATTATATTACATCATATGGCAATTTTTTTTCCTAAAGAAAGTCAACTTGTCATATTCAAATATTAGCTTCGGCATTGTTTTTAGAGGTCTTTTAAGTATTCAAACACCTAGAGTTAAAATACCATTGGCATCTAGCTGAAAATGTACTTTGCAAACCAACCAATCTAGCATAGTGAAAAAGGCACCAATTTTCTGGTTTGTACTAGACAAGCATCAAAACTAAGCAAATTACTTTGCTTACCATACCTAAATGGGAATGCCTTGGTCTAAATCCACCAAACGTACATTAAATCGAAAAAAAAAAAAAAAAAAAAAAAAAAAAAAAAAAAAAAAAATTTTTTCATAAATAAAATTTTGTGTATAATTTTT